ACAAATATCACTACAAAAGTTGTACCAATTTGTTATTATATGCTCACTTTTAATATTACACTTAATATGAGTTTGATCTTGTGGCATTTTAATGCACTAATAATACATCATTCTAAGAATTTGAGCAAATGTGAAATTATTATTTGCAAACCAAATACTAATTCTAAGAGATCTTGTGGTATTGCAATTTTTACAATTCCACTTCAGACCATTTTTACAACCTCGATTATTAGATTGATATCTTATTGGCTGATGACATTTTTCACATTCTCTCTCTTCTGGAAGAAGACCAACTGTAATACAAAAAGTAAAAGAATTTACTTTACTATTAGTTCTCTCAATAAGATCAGAAAAAGAAAAATTACTATTTTAAGCATGATCTACATTTTCCAATCTAGCCATAATACTAAAGGGAAAACCTAAACCAAGTGTAAGTTAAATACTTATAAATTATAGCCGTTCATTCACTTAATTATAAAATTATAGTCATTAACATATCTGTTAACAACATCTACTAATTAAAGTTTAATGTTATTAATTTAGTGTGCCATGGAAGGAGGAGTTAGCGTGTAAAGGGGTAGCCATGTAAGAGAGGGGGCAGGTAGAGATTGCTTGCATTACTTTTCCATCATGGCCAGCCTGAAATACGAAATATAATTCAAGTGTATTATACTTATCCTAGCGATTCTCGAGTGTGGGAAACACATTTGGATTCATGTGCCCTTAGCCTTTGCTTGGTGTACTAGCAGCTGTCTAGCAACGAAAAAAGCAGCAGCAGCAAATTCTCCCCAAAAAGTTGATCCAAAACATCTTTCAATCAAATGGAAGATGATCTCTTAAAACTTTGAAACAACCAATGGGTTTTGTTAGAGTAAAAATTATATAAATTCATTTTTAGAAAAATTATTGTGCATTGCACTTAGTTTGCTTAATAGTAGTGTTATTTTTATTTAGTATTTTAAAATAATCTAATTGATCAATATGTTTATAATTTATAAATCAAGATTAAGGAATTTGAGGGTTTCATATTTTAATTTATAATACAAATTAATCTTAATGAATAATAGTATAGTGAGTTAAGGGACCCTTGGTAAAGTATTCTAAAATAATCAAGCATATTTTAAATATACCTTAATTCCCTTTGATTTTTCTTTTAGGTAAACCAAAAATCGTCTTAAAGGATATTCTCGGCGCGGGTGGGTTTAGGGTTCTTGGGACAAGAATTAGGGTTCTTCCGTTCTTACCAGATTGCACGAGAAGTAAATGAAGAAGCTCATTTAAGAACACATAATATCAATGTAAATTTTATTACCAGAAGATTCTAAAATAAATTCAAAAGATTCTATTGTAACTAACTGGAACCCTACAAACGGTCAAGAAGCAATGTGGCAGGGCGATGGAGCTCGGGAGCTGGATTCTTTTCGACTACTCCTTGGCCATCACTACACTAGGAGCTCCGGATTCTCGCGCATGGAGATCGGCAGGGCCTGTCTAGGGTTTGATCCAGCTCGTTGAAGGATGTGATCGAGGTAAGTTCTTGGTGAGTAGTCGCGGATTGATGGAGCTATCCTCTTAGGCGCGAATGGAGGTGGATCAGCAGGGCCAGAGATCTTCGTCCGGTGGTCTGCCGCTCAGCTTCTACATCCGCAGCGCGAGATTGTGCCTGAAAAAGGCGACGCTAGCTCGGCTCCAGCCAAATTCTCCCGAGAGCAGCGGTGGCAGCGAGGAGGAGCTCCAGCATTTGAGAAGGTTTGAGGCTCTGGTAGCGTGCGCTTTGCCGGCACACAAGGAGTACTGCGAGAGACGTGGTGACAAGGCGGTGAGAGAGCTCCATGTTGGATTGGTAGAGGCACGGCGAAGAATCCAGGAGCTCTTGGAGGGCGTTGGAGAGAAATCTGGGAAGTCGCAGTCACAGTCACAGAAGAAGAAGGCTGTATCATCGTCGACATCGCCTACGAAGAAAGCAGCGTCTCCAAAGCGAGCGGCTTCTCCGACCAAGAAGGCTGGATCTCCGAAAAAGCTCGCTGGTTCTTCTCCGAAGAAATCCCGGCCTGGCTCTCCGAGAAAGTTGTCGTCCTCGTCGAGAGCTCCGAGCCGGCCCAAGGCAGCAACCACGGTGGAGAAGAAACTCTCGCGGCCAGTTAAGTCGCCTCGAGAGACACCACTGCTCAAGCCTCAGCAGCAAGCTTCGAAGCAAACCAACGCTGCGAAGCGGGCAGAGTCGCCGGGGAAGAGGAGGCCTGGCTCTCCAAAGAAGAAGACTGATCACTCGCCACCATCGCCACCAGGTGAAAATGGTGGTAAGCTAGAGTTCGAGGAGACTGAGGCCACCGTGGATGTTTCGAAACTCAGGAAGAGGCCCAAGGGAACGGCCTTGAAGGATTGGGAGGCGAAGCTACACGATGTCTACACGTTTGCTGACGAGAAGCCGCCGGTTTACTACTTGCCAAAGAAACTACCGAGTGCTCTTCAGAAAAATCGAAGAACGGTTGAGAGCAGTGAGTCTGGGACTGCTCCTCCTGCGAGGCTTCCAGCTTCTGGAGTCCGGGACTCGACGCGTTCTTTGCCGACAGGTACTTCACTCTTCCATTCAAGTTTTGTTGCCTTTTAACGTGGGATTGGATCCAGGGAAGTCGGATAAACTCTTCAGTGATGCCGCGGATCAGAGGAAAGAAAGATCCGGCCAGTTTGATCTCCGAAAGAGTTACGACGATATCGGCAGCGCACGCCGTGATCGTCACAAGCTCTTAGATGATACTGACGAGTACTACAGAAGCAGGACAGAGGAGTCCGAGCCAGTCTTGCAAAGAAGCCGCAGGAACTCGGGGTTGAAAAGAGGTTTTTTGGACAGAGGATCAGGGAATACAAGAGAAGATAGAGTCTGGGACAACTTCGTGTATGAGAAAAGCCAGAAGCTGGACGCTCGAGCTCCTCCAGGGAAGGTTTCGGATGACAAGTCACTCTCGTTGTCATACGATGGTGCTGACACTTCAGAGAGTCGCACTGTTCTTTACGATGAGAGCAAGAATGGGAACGTCAAGATTGTTAGAGATCTCCGAGGCTCGCTAGATGGTTTTAGAATACGTCTCGAGGAAGAAGGGAAAAGATGGCGGGGACGAGTTAATGCGTTGGAGAAAGAGATAGAGTTTTTGAGGGATGAGACCGAAGGCGATCTTGTGGTTCTTCGGCGGAACGTACAGGAGGAAGCCAAGAAGCGCGAGAACTTCTCGCACAAGCTGGTGAATTCGGTGGATGCTCTTGAGGAGAGTATAGTGAAGGACATGGACGGGCTAAGAGTGGAGATTTCGAAGAAAGGTGACAGGCACTGGATGGAAAATGTGATCAAGGAGACGGTGGAGAAGTGTCTCTCTGACAGGACGGAGACGAAAGAGAAGCCTTTGAAAGACGAGCTCCGTCTTCTCAAGGCGGAGGTGGAGCTACTTTCGAGAGGAAGGGTGGAGCTCGAGAGTCACTTTGAGCAGATCGCTCAAATCGTGGAGAACGACAGGGAAACCATCAGCACGGAGCAGATAAACATCAGGACCGAGAATGGCTACTTGAGGAAACAGCTCCAGAGCATGAAGAAGGAGGGACTTCAGGCAAGAGTGGAGGCGGACGAGTTTCGAAAAGGATGTGAGTCGGACATGGACGAGCTAAAGCACGTCCTCGGCAAGCTCAAGGACGAAGCCATGCAGATGAAAATCGACTTCCAAGGCTTGAAAGGCCTGGAGGAGACGTTCAAAGTCGACAGGGGGAGCATGAGAAGATCGGCTGACAGGATCCGGGACGAGGCCTCGCAGGAGAAGATGCTGATCATGGACCGAGTCGAGAATCTGTCCAAGCTCTACCTCGGCGGCCTGGACGAGGTGAGAATGGACGTGTTGAACGTCAAGATCAAGTGCCAGGACAAGGTGGAGGAACTGGAGGACCAGCTGAGGGAATTCAAGCAGAGGCAGGAGAGCGTTCCGTGCTCTAGATCTTCTTCCAGAGGAGCCGCGAGTTTCGAGGAGGTTGAGTCAAGGATGGCTCACTTGGAGAGCAAACAGGAGCTCATGCATATGGCCGGGCTGGAGGAGTCGAGGATGGCGCTGTTCAACCTCGACATGAAGTGCCAGGACAAGATCGAGGCGATCGAGCAGCAGCTGAAAGAAGTGAGGCGACGCTCGATAGATTCTCCCGCCGCAAGCCGGAACACTTCCAGGGACATCATGATCGACGACTTGGAGTCGAGGCTATCGAGCATGGAAAGGAAGCAGGACACGCACAGATATATGCTCGAGGACGCGGTGGCGATCGCCGAGAAGGAGAAACGTTTAGCATCGGCAGCAGCGTCGGACGCAGCAGCAGCAGCGATCAAGGCCGAGGAAGCTCTCTCGGAAGTTTTGAAGCACTCCGACGATTCACTCACGAGCAGCAGATACAGGCGGACTGGGAGACTCCAGGAGAGCCTGGCGATGGAGAGGGACTCGTTCTCGGCGGCGGCGTGCGAGCTTAGGAGAACCAGCATCGACATGACGAGAGAGACCGAGTCGGCGGTTGAGGCAGCCGCAGAGGCCAAGCGAAGAGCCGAGGAGCTCCAGGAGCGGCTCAGGGACGCCGTGTGTGAAGTTGATAGGCAGAGGAGCATGGCTGCCGAGTTTGCTGCCAAGGCGTCCTCGGTTTCGTCCGAGGCTCGCGACTTGCTGGACGAGATGGCGGGCATGAGGAAAACTCTGGCCGAGAACACCAGCAGTGATCATATGGACAGCGACCGGACGCACGAAACCGCGAAGCTCTTGACGGACTTGGAGAAGAGGATGGACGCGCTGGAGCAGTCGAGTAGAAGCAAGAGCGCTGCGCCTGTGGAGAAGGAAAAGGTGGCGAAGTCGCAAGTGAAAGGAAAGCTCTCGAGCACGACCAAGAGAAGGCTGGAGAACGAAGAACTCCGGCTGGATACGAGAGTCACAAGCTTGGAAAGCCATCTAGAACACGTAGCTTCAGCGACGTACGCAAACATCAGGTACGAGAAAGAACAATCTTCTCTATTTCTTTGCAAGAATCTCACAAGCTCTTCGAACAGGATGCTCGACACGAAAGTGGAGCACGTAAGCGTCAGCGCTCAGTCGGCGCTGGAGGGCGCCTCGGTCGCGGAGAGGAAATGCGGAGCGCTCGGGGCGGAGCTCGTCAAAGTGTTCCGGGTGCTAGCGTCGTTCAAGAAGGACAACTCCGAGAGGCAATCCAGCATCACCAAGTCCAAGGAATCCAGCAGCCCCGTGCGGCGTCCACACTTTGCGTGCGACTCGTGCAAGCGAGCAGCGTCCACCATCCTCCACGGCTCGCTCGAGTTCCTGCCATCCTCGGAAGTGGTCAAGGCGAGGGAAGTGAAGAAGACGAACCTGAGGCTGTCGACGTCGGATTCCAAGTCTTTGGAGATGGCCGTGAGGGAAGAAGCCGACGAGTGCCTGGTCCACGGGAGGAAGATCCAGGAGAGGATAGCAAAGGTGGAGGAGAGTATACAAAACTATGGATCGACGAGGAGGAGCTGGGGGACGAGCGTTGCGACGCTTCTGGCCGAGGAAGATGGAAGCAAAGGATTGGAAGACATGAACTCGTGGGGTATAAGCTCGCGGGGGATTTGCGTGACGCAGGAGCCGGAACTTTGCTAGAGTCGGGAGCTTCTTTTTTCTTGTTCTTCCACCCAATTTTGGTGGTTCTTTCTTCTTCCAAGTGTACAGTGATGCAAAAACAATAGTCAGTTAACCAGTTTCTATGAAAACATGCCTTTGAAGTACTCGGCGTACTCGTCTTTGTCTCGCTCCTCGGATGGGCCTGTGCGAGGATGGGGGATTGGAAAAATAGAAAGAACTCGTGCGTACCTTGAGCAACGTTTTGATCATCGCCGCGAGGAGCTCTTCCGGGAGTGTCTTCCTCTTCTGAAACTCTGCAAGGACAATGTATCTTAATGACTAGCTATTGAAGAGCGAGCTTCTCACCTTCTTTTCTTCTTGGTTTCTTCTTTCTGCTCCTTTCTCATCTGCCGCTTCTTCTCCTTCTCCTTTTTGTAGTTAAGCTTGTACGCACAGCTGAGCACACGAAATGCACTCTTTAGCTGGTATCAAAAGATTAAAAACCATCTTATCTTACCCCGGACAGAGACGCAATTTTACCAGTGCTTGCTTGCTTTCACCAGCCTCCTTGTAGACAAAATTCACCTGCCAAACAAATGGTCGATATCCAGAAAACTAGAGGACCAGAAAACCAACAGCAAAGTGTGATCGGATCAAGCACAATGACAAATCCCAAGAAGGCTGCTACCTAAAGGTCTCCAAAAGGTGAGCTAGACGTGCCTCATAGCTGCAAAGCTCCTCTTTAGCATTGCAATCCTTGTTTCCACAGATAAACTGGCCTGGATAGTACAAAATGAAGATATTAGCTAAACAAGGTTCTACTTCGAATGTTTGCTTACCTTTCCCAGCGATGACTTCTTTCTCAGTCCGCCACCTCAAGCCCACCTGTGATTGTAGAGCTGTGTTATTTTTTTTGCTTGGCAAGAGAAGTAAAACAAACCTTGCTTTCTTTGTAGCGGGACATGTCTGCTAAACAATATCTAAGGCAATGGTCACGATTAGCCAGCGAAAACGCATTCAGCAAACATACTCTTTGAAAAGCTTGTCATAGTAGCGTTTAGCAAGCCGCTGCTCCCAGCTTCTTTCCGAATCGTCTTCTTCCGAGCGTATGAATCTACAGGCCATGGAAGCAAGCAACAGTGAGTTCTGATACCTGCACTGAAAAGAAAAATGTGAAGAGACCTGTAAGTTTCTCGCAAAGTGTCTGCATCGGTTTTTATCGGCCGGATGGGCTGCTGCGATGGAGCTCCATAATGGTGAACTGTTTTGCAAAAGCAAGAGAATTAAACACTAAGAAAAATTGATATGAACAGAATTTTCGGAGATGTGTAGCCCTCTGCCAAAACAATATTGGCGAGCGTTGTTCCAACTCCAGTGACCAAGTGTTGAGATGAGAAGAACAACAAGAGCTCACAGCTCAGGAGCTCTTTCTAAAGTATCTCTCATCTAACTCTCTCGTAAAACTTCACGAGAAGAGCCAGCGCAACCATAGTTCTCACATTGAAAAACATTCGCAAGTATAGCTCTATCGAAATTTATATCACAAGCACATCTACAAAGGAAGAAAAAAATCGAGACATTCTAGCACGAGAAAGGAAAAAAGAAATCTCAAGAACATATCATAATCTCTATCGAAACTTAAATCACAAGCACATCACTATACGAAGGAAGAAAACAATCGAGGGACTCTAGCACGAGCAAGGAAAAAAATTCCCAAGAACATACCATAATCGCGCATGAACTTCTTGTGCCGCTCGTAAGCATTCAATCCCTTGATGTATGAATCGAAGTGCCTAGAACAAAGAATGCCGGAATAGATCAAGGAAACAAGCAAGATAAGATCGAGCTCACTGCTTTCGTTGCTGGCGAGCGAAAACCTCCTCCTGGAGTGCGCCGAAGGAAGCCATGACGATCGCGCTCGATAATCTAGGGCAAAAGAAAAAAAGCCCTAGAAACAGAGTAATTTGGCTATGGCCGATGATGGGCACCATCGACCACAAGGATGGTCTTCTTACACGAAAACGATGTACGGTATGGGCATCGACCAGGCTGCCATTGATCCATTCCCGCCATTAGGTACGGCACATTCTAGGGCGAGCCAAGCAGAGGAGATTCCAGCGAGCTACGCCAGCGCTGTGGATCCTTTCAATCGCGGCAGCGATGGAGAATCCGCGCCATTGCGCGAGGAAGAGCTCGCGGTGGGAGATTCGCAGGGCGCGGCTGCAAGCTCCTCCAGCTCCACCAGCGATTTGGCTATGGCGTCGAGCAGCGGCGATTCTTATCACCAGCTTCGCAAGGATGCGATCAAAGCGTCAAGGTAGAGCGATGCCGCTTCTAGATTCTGGATCGATCGACTCGAAATATTTTGATGTGTTCTTGGATTGGATCGAGCAGGCTGATGAGCCGGCACGCGCGATCCGCCGCCACTGCATTCCAGCGCGGCGATCATCACAGGGCCAAGGAGCTGTCACGGCAGAGCCGGCAAGAACGCGCGCTCGCAGAGAAGCTCAACTTGGAGGCCGCCGCGGAGATCATGAAACTCCGGAACCAGGAGGCCGCGCTTCCGGCAGGGACGATCGATTTGCACGGGCTCCATGTTCGCGAGGCAGTGGCTGTTCTCCAGCAAAGGCTAGCGGAGCTCGAGGATCAAATCTCTTCCTCCTTACACAGGAGCCATCTCACAGTCATCACAGGTAAGTTACTTCTTTCTAATAGCTTGTTCGTTCTCTTGCATCCATTGATCTTTCTTTTTGGTTCTCTCTCTCTTTTCCAGGAACTGGATCGCACAGTCGCGATGGGCCTGCGATTCCCACTGCCGTGACCAACTTTCTCATCACTAACAAGTATCACCCTCGCACCACACCAGCTCTTTGTATCTTTTCACACCTTTTCTCATCTCACAGCTACAGATACACGGAGCCACGACCCGGAATGATCTCCGTTCAACTAAAAATAAGGAAAGAGATTCTCTGAAGTTTCTTAACTTACCATGTACTCTTCCAGCATCATCGCGACTTGTATACATACGTAATCGATTTTCTCAGGCAAGCTGATTTTTTTCTCATATTTTGATTTTTGTCTTCATAGCGCAAGTGTCTCAGTTTCGATTCTTTGACGCTTTTCTTCTAAGAACGAAAAGAAAGAGCTTCACTAACATTCAGCTAGTCCAACATTATTCGTAATCTAGTTTCTCAGGTAAGCTGAACTTTTTCCTCCACCCGCAGATTATCATCTCGTCGGGAGAGTCCGTGTGGATAAAGCTTGAACGAGCTTCCATAAGCTGTGAAGATTGATCGAACCAATCCAGTTAAAGCTTGCAAGTCCCGTGAGTTTTTCCTGGTGAAAAGTTCTACAAACCTCTATATACTTGTGAAGTGCTTCAAGCTTTTCAGGGAAAGCGAATCCCATAATCTGGCCCAGTGCTACTCGAGCGTGTCGGAGCTTCGGTGCTACAGTGAAATCCGAGTCTGTTGGCTTTTCTCCAGCAATGTATGGACCCTTTCACCACTCGATCCATGTAAGTGTTCCCAAAAGATTTGATTTCATCAACTTACTACTTACATGCTTTTGCAGGTGCTGATTAAACGATAGGAGTTCTTTTATCAGATCCTGTTTGGCTGGATGAGCTTGGTCTTTGGACTTGAGCCACTCGACGAACGTAGGAAAGATTCCCGATCCTCTGCGAGAAGAGAAAATATGCGGTGAGAATGTATCATTGTGGCAGTCGAACTTACACGTCTTTAAACTCGTCCGGAGTCTTTAGAGCAGGATTTGGAAACTTGGCCTCCAAGTGCTCGAAGATCCTCTCCGAGTCTTGGATCCATTCGGAGCCATCTCGCAAAACAGGCATAAGACCCGAGGGGTTCTTCTCCATGAACCTGTTGGCCACGACGATCTAACTAAACAAGGTGAAGCTGCAAATTCTAGTGTACCATGCAGGCTTGTCAGGACCTTCTTGAATGTACGTGGCTTTGTAAGGCAGCCTCTTCTCTGGTAAGAAGAAGAAAAACCAAGCCTGTTTATATCTCTTCTCCTTCGATGCTTACCTTCCAACTCCATGTAGATTCGCTGCGAGAAGGGGCCTGGAATCCATCAAAAACGATCGAGAACTAAGTATCAAAATCGAAGAGCTTACAATCGCCTCGCTGTGTGCTAGGATTCCCAGTTCCAGTGGCGGCCTTGCCGAAAACTTCGAGATCCACTCCAGCACTCGGTACAGCATGCGATGGCGGCTTGAGCGCATCGCCGTCAGCTCTATTCACCTCCTGGACTCTGGAAAAACGCGACGAATCTTGAGCGAGCTCGCGGAGAAAGAGATAAAACTCTCGAGCTTTTGGTACCTGGATGGCTCGGGGTGATACATTCTTTCAAGAACTCCGGAAGTTTTCACGCCAAGAAATCTAAGTAATTAGAGTTAAAGCTAAATAAGTACTAATTTGTCTTGAAATCAATCAAAACCTTAATTAATCGTTTGTTGCTAAACGCCTTTGTTAGCTACAAACTAGGAGTTAGGGTTCTTTCCTTGCTAGGGTTTCCTCCATGGCGCAATCCAGGCGACAGTGAGGTGGGGAGAGCTCTAGGTAGAATCGCGCGCTGGCTATGGCGGCCAATCAGAATGTGGATCTTAGCAGCGAGGTGCTGCGATTGATGCAGGCGACCGCGTCGATGAATGCCGCCATGAGCGCGCAGCAGCAGCCCTCGCCGTCGGCGGCCGCGGTCCAGGCCATCGCCAAGCAGCAGTTCCAATTCCAGCAGGCGCTCATGGTCCAGCAGATGATGGCATCGCAGCAAGCCGCCGTCCGCGCCGCCAATCTCAAGGTAGCCTCGGACCTTGCGGTTGCTCGAGCGGCATTGATCAGCAAGCAGCTCAAATCCGACGACCCTAGCGCTGGCGATGAGGAGGAGAAAGCCGCAGCTGCGAGCAAATCCAAGTAAGCTCTCTCTCCCTCTCTCGATTTTTCCTTCCTTTGTTCTTCGAGGACTAACCGGGGAAAGAAATTTTTTGTTTCCACAGGCAATCTCCAGATTCGTTTAGAAGTTCCAGATCGAGGTCTCGGTCTCCTGCTCGGCACCACCACCGAAGAAACTCGCCGCCGCCTCGTCACAGGCGACGATCACTCTCGGGTTCTCCAGTGAGGTACCGAAGCGAGCGTTTCGGAAGGAGTGGTCGCTACCGCGGTAGTGATCGAAGGTACTCGTATCATAGAGGTGGTGGCGAGGATCACTACAGGGGCAGTCGTTCTTCGTATAGACCATCCAGGGACAGGGACTATAACCAGCGGGCTTCTACGTCCCACCGGCGGTCCCGGAGGAGTGTGTCGCCACCGCACAGGAGAGACGATGGCAAGAGGCGGAGGCACCGTTCTGTGAGCCCAGAGGATCGCAAAAGTCCTCCCTTGAAAGACAAAGAAGAGGTGGAGAACAATGAGAGAAAGCCCGACTCTCCTCGAAAGGACCCAGTGACTTGCGATGAGACGATCGGGAACGAAGAACTCCAAGGGAAAGTGGACGATGATCCGAAAGTGGTAGCAAGCACAGGAGGTCCTCCTGACGAGGAAACGATGGCTTCTCCAGAGGTAAGTTTGAGGTCTCCTTTCCTTCCAAAGTCTGCTGACCGGCACAGAGGAAGCAATGAGAGAGCGGAGATGGTTTGCGAAGAGCCAGATAGAACTCCGCCACCACCACCACCAGCGGAACTACACGGTAGTGGTGATGCTCTAGAGAAGCAAGAGAGCCGGAAGCACCAGCGAGACGATGGAAAGCATAAAGACGATGGAAACGAAAGGGAACAAAGGAAGAAGCACAGGAATGGTAGCTCGGCGTCACAGGACGGATCCAGCAAGCGACGAAGGCCAAAGTCTACTCCGGTTTCCAGCTCTACTTCCGATGGCTGATCGAATGAATCTCCAGAAGGCTTCGTCCGCCGATGATCGAACGAGTGGCTGCATGGAGGTAAGTTCCCTGGCAATTTTTTGTGATCTTGCGGAGCGTCGTTCTCTTCGCAAAGGTCGCTCGTCACCACCTCCCTTGTACATGAAAAACCCAAGTTAAGTGGAGTAGTATGAATCGTTTCTATGAATCGTTTCGTCTGCCAGAGACACAAGCTTTAATGCTGGCAATGTACCGAGATTTATATGAAACGATGGTTCGTGTTCTGTGTATCATCACAGCTCTCAAACCAGAACGAAATAGTAACGGACTTTGAATGAAGCAACATAGGCTTACATGACTAGGATCTTGTGTCGTGTGGTTTGGACGTGGCTTCTCCTTCTCTGGTACTGCTATCGCAAGTGTTCTCTGTGGGAGCTGGAGCTGGAGCTGGAACTTCCGCGCTAGCATCTCCTCCTCCTCTTTCGTCACTGTCCTCCTCGGACTTGCTAGCTGACGTTCTATAGCTCGATTCAACCGGTTCTTTACTTTGCTGCTCCGCATCATTCTTTGGAACCTTGATCTCGAGCAGTCGCTCCACAGGGCACCTACAAATCGGGCAGCGGTTCGTCTGGAACCTCAGCACTTTGGCGCACTCGCTACACATACACTGCAAGAAGAAAAAAAAAAAAAAAAAAAGAGCTATGAAAACCAGAAGTATATAGCCAGCCTACCATGTGTCTGCAAGGAAGAACTGTCGTGTCCCTGGGCTCAGACATGCAAATCACACATTCTTTTCCCGAGTCGTCAAAGTTGGCCCCGCTGCCACCACCGCTATTCTCGATCCCGTAAATCTCCTGGAGCTCGTAGCGCACACCCTCCACCCAGATGATCTGCTTGATCACCCGGACACCATACTCTCCACCATCTTTGCGCTCCACAACGGCATGAGTCGTCTGGGAATGGACCCATTTTGGCAGAGGAGCACCCAGCGGCTCGGTGTCTCGGGATGGAGCATCAGCCGGTGGATCTCTGGAATAAGTCTCGGCTCGCACAACGAGGGCATAAGTTTCGTCCTGTCCCTCGTGAGCTAAGTCCTCGTCCTCGAAAAGAGACAAGTCTATCCCTGTTCCAGGTGCTTGCCGGAATTTTTGTCCCAGACCTTTGTCAAAGGGGACCTTGACAGGATCAAACACTTGCGGCTTCATGGGTGTCAAGCTGCAATTCACACCTTCCTTGGCCACAAAAAAAATACATATACTGCATAGCAAACACAAACAAAGTTAGCAAAGTGATACCAAAACGAAGTTTCTAAAGAAGAAAAGAACAAGAGCTTTTACTTACTTGCCAGGAACCGTGGCATCGAACGAGAAAGCTACGAGATAAAAACCCGGATTTTCCTCGTCCTTCTCGATTCTCAAGGTGGCCTTGCGGAGATTGACGTCGTTGCGAATCGTGTTTGCTTTCTGGTGATGGGCGACTGGGATAGCGGCGGCGGCGGTGGCGCTGCCAGGAATTTGAGGAGAAACTCCCACCGGACTCACGGGACGATAGCCTGGAGGAGGAACGTTCATCATGTACTGCCCATTGCTGGGCATGAATCCCTGCTGGTAGATTTGCGGGCCCATGGCTGCTGGAAGAGGTCCATGGTAGCTGGGAGAATAGAAATATGGCCCCAGCGATGCCGGGCCAGAGCTTCCAGCGATCGGCAGGACGCCGCCATGCGGAGGAGATCCTACCCTTGGATGCGGCTGCTGCTGCTGAGAGCTGCGAGAATTCCTCCTGTTGCTGGGACCGTTCCCCATCGAGGAAGATTTCTTTGCTTCTTCACGACGCTCGCGCTTGATCCTCCTCCTCAGCTGCAGCGCCGATCGCCGCGGCGAGCTCCATCGCTCTCCTCCACGAACCCTATATTTCGGGAGTACGATGGCGATCGCGTGCAATCCAGCGATGGCGACGAGAGAGTAGCGAGGGAGGGCGGCATGCGCCGCGACGAGGAGCTCCCGCTGGAAGGATGGATCGATCGTGGAAACCCTAATCTGGCGAAATGAAGAGACTGAGACGAAAGGCCGCAATGTGGCGATACAACATTGTAAATTCCATGCAAACATTCAAAGAATACAAAGATGCCGCCACTTATTATCGCACCGACTAACAGAATCTGCCCTATACTTCTAAAGAACATTCCGTGAAACTAACAGAATATTTCTCTCTTTCAGGTCTTTCCATTTCTAGGGTTCTTGGGCGAAATGGCTATGGCGCTGTGCGCGAGATTCATTCGCAGTTCAAGGGCGTCCACGCGCAGCATCTCCACTGCGCTGGATCTGGATCACACCTCCAAATGGATGCACGTAAGTGTGGCTACATTCGATTCTCTCGATTCTCCCTGAAATTCTTCTATGGAAATCTGATAGAACAAGGAGAAGAAATCGCCGATGCAACTCATCAGCGAGGTACCACCGATTGTTGTCCACGATCGAATCGTAGCTTGCATAGGAGGTATAATCTCGCGGCACCGCGATAGAATTCTTCCAGTTTTCTCATGGATTCCTGCGTTCTTCCAGGGAATAATTTAGCGCTAGGGCATCCGGTGGAGTTTATTTGCTTGGATCTTCCACATCCCCAAGTGTGCAAATACTGTGGCCTTAGATATGTACAAGACCATCACCACTAGTAACAAAGGGTAAAAGGGAAATAACCATGATTCTTTGGATATACTTTTTCCGTCAGTTAGCGATTCTGCCTGGATATTCTGTGAAGGTGAGGCGTGGAGGCATCCAGGCCCTTCATCTTCTCACTGTCGTGTCATCCATTATCGAGCCATCGACGAATGACACGCGGCCACGTTACTGCGCAGGGATTTGCTATGGAGTTTTTTGAGCAGCTTGGCGCCGAGAGCTCGGGAGCAAGGCGCTAGGGTTCTTGGAGAAATCTCGCGACGCGCGCTCGACCGGTAAGCCACTCCCGGACGCCTAGCCGTGGAAATTCTCAGGAAAATCGTGGCAATGCGCGATGGATGAGCCACATCTGGTGAGGATTATCGCGTGAAACCGGTGAGTGAGGCAGGGATTTCGTCGCCGCTGGGCATGGAGCAGCACCAGGGCACGGCGCCGGCCATCGGGCAGCCGATGCAAGCGGGATTTCCAGCGCCGCCGGGCGGGGGAGCGCCAGGAACTCCCATGGCGGCTGGTCAGGTTCCAGGAGCAGCGCAGTCGGCCGTGGCATTCCAGCAAGCGCTAGGTTACCAGCAAATGCAGCAGCAGCACCAGCAGCAGCTCCAGCAATTCTGGCAGGGACAGATGCAAGAAATCGAGCAAGTGAACGATTTCAAGAACCACCAGCTTCCACTGGCCCGGATCAAGAAGATCATGAAGGCCGACGAGGACGTGAGGATGATCTCGGCGGAGGCACCAGTGCTCTTCGCAAAGGCGTGCGAGATGTTCATCTTGGAGCTCACGCTGCGCTCCTGGATCCACACCGAGGAGAACAAGCGGCGGACGCTGCAGAAGAACGACATCGCCGCGGCGATCACTCGCACGGACATCTTCGACTTTCTGGTGGATATAGTTCCCAGGGACGAGCTCAAGGAGGAGACTCTGGGAGTGACTCGAGCAGCCATGCCGGTTGGGCCTCCAGGGGATCCAATGCAGTACCCGGGGTTGTACTACGTGCCTCCAGCGGCGCAGGGACAGGCGGCGGCGGGGGCGTCGCCGCTTGGATCGCCGGTTGTGGGAAGACCAGCAATGCCAGTTGATCCAGCGATGTTTTCTCAGCAGCGGCCGCAGGGAATTCCCGGTCCTTACATGACCCAGCAGCAAATGTGGCCGCAGCAACCAGCGACCTCGAATTCGTCCGGGGCTCCGGCATCAAGCTCCTAGAATCCACCAAGTAAGCTTCATCCTTCCTCTCTCGTTCGTCTCTTTGTAAGGTTTCTCGCCATTCTTCTCTTTGTAAGTTTTCCCGCCATTCTTCTCTTCTTAAGTTCTTTCTCTCTCTTTTGAGTTCTCCATGGTACTTTTCATATCTCTTTGTGAAGTTTTCTCTCGTTCTTTTGTCTTGACATTCTTTTCTTGTCTCTATCTTTTTATCGTCTGTTTTTCTCCCAATCTCTCCATACGTGTTCTTCCTTTAAGTTCTCCATTATCCCATGGAAGTTCTCATCTCTCCTCTCTTGGATTGACAAATGGTGGCGAGCAGGCTATTGGCAATAACTCTAAGACAATGATATAAACTTCTCTAATACCATACTCCATTTTAAATTTGCCATTGGCGGGCGCTAGGGTTTTAGCAAAGAGGAGCGGCGCCTTGGATCGGTGAGTGTCTGTCTCTTGCGCCTCGATCGCAATGGCGCTGCGCGATTAGCCGCAAGCGCTGGGGTTTTAGCTAGATCTTGGCGCCGCTGTGAGATTTTCGAGCATTCGAAGTCCCGCCTTCTACTGCTCTTGAGAGATTTTAGTCCCTTTTGAGAGATTTCTCGAGCCTCGTGACGAAATTTTCTTTTGACCTTAGTGGATGGCTAGCTCTTTGTTTCACTAGCTTCGTTTACACGTAGATGAGCTAAAGTTCTCGGTCTTTTGGAAATTTCTACAGCCTCGTGCCGAGAAATTTCGTTTTGAGCTTTCCATGGCTAGCTCTTTCTTGCTTCTTTTTCGTTCTTCGCATGAAGACGAGCTAAAAGATCTCGGTCTTAGGACTAGTGCTTTTCCCTTCTTGCTGCATTTTCATTTTAAGACAGCACTTTCCCAGTGTAAGTCTAGAGTTTGTCGACCATTAAAGGTGAGGTAGAGCTCTCGCTGTGCATGGGTTTTGTTTCATCCTGTTCGCTGCGCTCCATAACTGTACTTTGCTTTTGCAAGCAGATCGGCTTCTGGGAATATTGGCGCTGGTAGTGGTCCCGAAAAGGCTGCGGATATCTCAATCAGGTTTGGGTGGTGGTGAGTGTGGCTCTCTCGATTTGATATTTCTGGAGAGCGATAGCTTGAAAGTTGGTCCCTCCTGGCTGGAGGGGCATTTCTCCAATTCTCTCCAGCTTTATGCTGTGTGTTTCTCTTTTTGTTTTCTTGCGATTAACCATATGCAGCAGCCTTTCCAGGCGTTGCAGATTGAGTGCATTTGCCTCGATTCTTCTTTGCTTGAAGCATATCTACTGGGTGATTGTAGAAGATACAACTACTAATGTCTCATGACATGTATCTGGCAGGAACTTATTACAGCGACGACTGCTGGTGGCTCTGGCAACAAGCGCGGGCGACATGGTGTCGCAGCTGCAACTCTGCAGGGATTACTAATGTGGCAAACAGATAAGTAGCGAAGCGGCATCTCTTGCTTGCTCCATTCCATTTTACGTCCAGTCTTTATGGGCACAGCGTGATGTTTACGTCTTTGGTACTACTCTCTGTCTATCTGAAGTCACCAAAGTCTTTTCTTTTTTCTTTTTTCTGAAGTGTTTGGGTGGGAAGCAAGAATAAAGGACAAGGACTAGTTGTGCTTTAGCCATCCTTGTTGGGGGTCTGTCTATGTCTAAACTTGTGGTTTAAGTGGTCCGGTGTGCTACTTGAACTTTGGATTTTAAGTGGTCCTGTGTGCTACTTGTGCTTTGGACTCTACTGATTTGAGATTGTGTTGGTCTTTGCAGTAAAAGTTGGCTGGTCTAAAGGTGCTCTGCCATGTTTGTCGTTTTTTTTTGCAAATTTTTCTCTCACGTTTTTTCGTTTTTTTCTTTTTCTATTTATCTCATTGCTGCATTCTGTCTGAATGTTCTTCATGTAAACGCACTTTTCTAACTTGAGGCTCGTCCGGCCGCGTCATTCATTCTGGCGCAAATAAAGATACCAGGTCATTGGGCTTTTGCCGCTCCGCTTCCTCTTCTTGAAATATGCTGCATACGTACGCATATCGTAATGCTTGTTTTACAAGTGGATCTGCCTGTTAAGGGATGAACCGTATGCCATGCGTGTTGCTAGCTTCCTTTCTTAGTGGCTTTGCTAAAAGCGTGGTTCAGGTGCACGATGTCCGAAAGGTTGGACCGTGAAGCAGCGCTTAAACAGTTCATAATGGTGTTACGGAGGACACAGCAAAAGGGCCATTCTGTGAGGCAAGGCAAGCATTATTTCTTTTCTTCTTGAAACGAGGCAAGTAAATTCTGTATTCCAGTAACTGGATCCTGTTCAAGTTTATGAACTGATCCTAAAGGTAAGATTCATGCTATAAAAAAAGGAACTTCCAATTTAGTGCTTTCTTTCCGCGGCTGTGACTAACTTTTTCTCCTCTTCTTTTTTTAATAAACAAGAGAATAGCATGATATGGAAATGTCTTCCTCTCTAAAATTCAGCCAGGGATTGCAGAGTGCCAACAGATATGAGGAAGACTGGCTGATGTTGTCGAACTGCCAGACCAGGCACTGCCATGGCAAGGACGATTGAAGAAGAAAGGTAAGCTTGTCTTTCCATTAACTCAGTTTTTCTTTTAGTCTAGGAGGAAGAGGTTCCCCTGGGCAGGGAGGGAGACCTCTGAAGTAGCTGTCTATGGTTTGGAATTATTACCGAGGCATCGCTTTGCATGCATGACTTTTCAGTGTGCTGGTCTGGTGTGACCGTCACGTTCCAAAGCGTGGTCCGCAGGATTTCTCCATGTCTTTTGTACAAATGCCAAAAGGAAATGCAGGCTGATGTGAGCTTGGCTTTGCTTCCTGCAGGGATCGCAATGCTCGCTGCAGTGACGATGCGATGCCGATGAGATGAGAGCTGCTTTCTTTCTGGGTTACAATTGGACATATGCGATGCGACAAGCGTGGACAGAGGCCGCATGCTGATTCCCAATGCGGATGTTAAATCCCCAAGCTTTCTAGAAGAGGTGGCTTTCTTTATTCCTCGCTTGTGTTTGCTGGCCCCAATAGGTACTTTGAACTCGTTGTTCGTCACCTTCCTTTATTCACTTGGTCACTTTGCTTTTTATTTTACTGATTCTTTTTTCTTTTGTTTTTGTGTCCAGGAATCGATCATGCTACTGGCTCCTGTGCTTCCTTCGGATTTGAAAAGCCTTTGTAAAGGTGCGTGCCACTGCTTCACCAAATGGTACAGCCCCTCCCCTCCCTTGTTCCACTAACTTAAGCTCGGATTTTGTGGATATCACGACTGACGACAGACGTGTTTCGTTTCAGGACACTCGAAAATCATGGAGTTTACTTTGTCCAGATGCCTTAACGCGCAAACTCTCAGATGCCTTAAAGCATCCATTTGGTTTCCATCATCGTCTTACAACAACAGGCTTGTCGGTAGTATTTTATGGTTCGTATGCATCTCATCTTTCCCTGGTTTCCTGTCAGTGGGTTATAAGTGGATTTGGAGAAGATCCTGCTCAAAGGAATCTTACACAAGGTTGAGCGTGACTGGAGCAGTTTTCGAGTGACATATCGCCCCAAATGCTTTCTAAAGCTTTGGACTATTCGAGGACCACTGAGTAGTTAACAGAGATGGGTGGACAGCTACCAAAGGGAGACGGGGGGTCAGTTGTCTCTTTGTTTTTTATACGCAACCAAGATCGTGTCTCTAACTCTGCTAAATTGCGGCCTCAGGATCGGCATCTCGTGAGTGTTGGAATTGGAAGATGCCGCTGCTGCTGAAGATAAGACTTGCGGAGGAAACGAGCCACGTGGAAGAAGCGCAATTGATGGTTTGTCGGCCATGCTTTTGTCAAACTTGGGAGATTCGGCTTTGAAACAATTGAGCTGAGAGATCCAGTCCAGTGAGCAAAAGGTGAGTCGTTATCTTCCGAGGATCTAGCTTGCAATGGATTACGGTTCATGAAATTTCACCTTTTCACTTTGCTTTGTTGCCTCACAGGGAGTTTACTCGCAATGTGGACGTAGTAAAAGACACGGAAAAGCAATCAAGCTGGTGAACTGCAAATTGTGTGACCTTACTCGATTCATACTGCGCAAGTTGCAACAAGGAGGGAAATGGTCGGTGACTTGACTCGCCCGAGGAGGAGGACTCCGAGTGCGTGCGGTGCGGCCACAAAACTCGAGTGTTATCCTCGACGCTGCTTTAAAGGTATGCCAAGTACAATGACAAATCTCCTCATGCTTCTGTGTCTTGACAAGGGTGACAATTCAACAGGTAAACAAAGAAGAAGACCCTTCCCTACGTGTGCTGCGCCGGGCGGAGCTCAAAAAACAGCACACACTCACACACACAGACACGGACGGTCTGCCGACTGTTCGTACTGTGGACCAACTTGTGTTGTGTGTGTGAGTGTGGGGTGGTTTTTATGAGCTCGCCCACGCACACACCCCACACACTCAAAGAAATGCCACTGCTGCTGGCTACACTACCGCTTCTGCTTTGCACTGAACTTAACGAGGGGAGAAGCAACCTTAGATTTGCCTTTTGCGTGGAATGAAGAGGAAAGAATAATATTTTATAAGGCACAACATGGATCATTTACTATGTGAGGTATATATATATCTATAGGTGCTTGGAGGTACGTAGAAGGCAAGCAGCTTTAAGTTTAAAGCTGAGAGAGGTACATTCTCCACTTTGTTTGTTGCATTTTTCGTTGTTGTTTCTCTCACTCATGCCCTGTTTTGTTCTGTAGTTGTCATTTCCCAGCTCACCTCGTCGGCGGAGGTACGGAGTGTTCGCCATGGACGCCGACAAGCCGAGATTTTGAGGATTTTCTTATTTCTTCCAGTTTGACTCGGGGAGGCATGGTAAAATCTTTCGGGCGAAATGCTCTGCCCGTACTTTCCTAGGCTTGGAAATGCTCACAAAAGTTCCTTTCTTGTTCTGTATCGGTTGCAGAATTAAGGGGAGTAAAGGCCGCTTGCTTGCAGCGACCACAAGGAAGCCGAGAAGGAAAAGGAAAAAATCCAGATAAGCGTAGTAAGATCATCGTAAAGGAGTGCTCTAATGGCTAGCTGACCACAGATACCTCGTCCTCGTCTTGCTCGTCGCCATCGTCGTCATCGTCGGACGCTGTGGTGGTGGTGGCGGTGGTGGTAACCGCGGCGGCCGCAGTAGCCGCAGCCGCAGCCGCACGCCTTCCAGCGTCGGCCCCAGCGTCGGCCAGCGCCGCGTGCCCGAGCCCAAACGCGCGGATGTGATCCTTGAGCGAGCGCTTGTGCTTGAAGTCGGAGCCGCAGATGCAGTACCACAGCTTGCCGCAGTTCTTCTCGTGCGTCCGCCAGTCGCCGCGGACGGCAAACGGTTTGCCGCACTTGCGGCAGGGGAAAGGCTTGATGCCGTGCTTGCGCTTGTAGTGCGTCTGGAGGGTGCGGAAGTCCTTGAGGGGCTTGGCTCGCGGGTGGTCGACGTGGTTGCGGCACCCCACCGCGCAGCAGTAGCAGGGCAGCCGGAGCATTGCGGTGGGCTGCGTGCCGCGCAGTGACTCGGGGCCGCGGCGGTACTGGGATCCATGCCCCCACATATGCATCTGTTCAGTCACACACAGGTAAGAGAAAAATGAGATTTTTAAGTCATGGATACGTATATAATTTTAAATTTTTTTTCTTCAGAAAAATGCATGCTCTGATCATGGAAGACCCAATCAATCAATCCAGCAATCATCAATGGGGAATGTTTGTCTCACCCAGGCAAGCAGCTCAAGCAGCTCAAGAAATCTCAAGCAGCTCAATTAGGTGAGCTGTTTATCTTTTCTTTTCTTTTTTTCTGATGAAAATGGAAAGGTGATGGAAAGATTGGACACACAGAGTGATGTATGAAAGAAAAAAAAGGCAGATAGATACAGCCTTGGAACATCTAGAAAGAGAAGGAAAAGAGAGAAAACAATAGCAATGCCAATGCAATGTCACATTATACATCAACTGAAACCAACCAATGGACATGGATATGAACTGTTCAAGATTCAATCTTTCAGTGTTCAGAAATGTTCAAGCGCACTATGAACAATGAAGAAAAAAGAAAAAGAGAAAAAAGAACAAAAAAAAAGAAAAAAACACACACACACGCACAAGCACACTACACAAGTCCATACCTGCATGTTGTTGTAGCGGTTGAAGGTCTTGCTGCACACGGGGCACGAGAACTGCGTCGGGCCGACGAGAATCTGCGCGGGCGTTGGTATCCAGTAGTGGCCGTGTGGCAAACGAGATCTCGACTCCCGCAGCAGCTGCTCCTTGTACACGGGCACCGTCTGGTTCTCCTTCTGCTTCTGCTTGTTCCCGGAGCTGCAGCTGCTGCTCCCCACTCCACCTGGACTAGCGCCCACTCCTCGATGATGATCATATCCACCACCTTGGAAACTGCCATTGCTGCTGATTTGGAGCGGTGATGGCGCTATTGCCATGATCCCCAAGCTGCCTCTGCTACTACTGCTCACCACCATCTTGTCACCACCACTGGGATCTTGGCCTTGCTCGCTCTCCGAGTCGGACGACGAGGACGATGAATCGTCGGACTGGACAGGCAAGATTGCAGTCTTGATCATGACTGGTTGGTGCCGATGCTGCTGGAGCTTGTATGGTATGGTGTCCTCCTCCTCCTCCTCCGTGGTGGTGATGGTGGATCCGGCGGAAGCGCTGGTAGCCAGGCTCCAAAATGGAATGGGCTTTGTTGTGACGACGAGCTGACGATCTCGAACATGGTTGTCTTCTTTGTCTTGGGCAGCAGCAGTGCCATCTTGTTCGTCTTGTCGGAGATCTTGTTCGTCTTCCTCTTCTTCTTCTTGGGAAGCGTCGCAGGGAGGACAGCACTCGCCATCGTCGTCTCTGGCCAGCAAATTCAGCTCCTGGGGAGCTTGCTGCTGCAATCTTGCGAACGGCAGCCAATTGCTATAGCAGAGATCGAATTCCCGGCCGCTGCTGCTGCTTGCGCTGCTGCTGCTGCTGACAATGGTGGTGGGACTTGGATTTGGATTCGCTATCAACGCCGCTAGCTGTGGTGGCGACGAGGAGCTGAGCTTTAGACCGCTCCTCACGAGCGCTCCGCGAGACGAGGCCTCCATGAAGGGAATGGCGACGGGGAGAGTGGACACGATTGCCGGTGCCTGCTGATGCCCCAAACCCAGCTTGAATCTCTCCGACACCCCGAGTGGCATCACCATATAGCCCTCTCGCTCGCGCTCTCGAAGATGATCATCCTCGACTTCTCGCCTTTGCGTATTGTTCTTGAGCTCTCCATGATGGTGGTGGTTTCCAAACTGGTGGTGATGCACAAACTCTTGCTGCTGCTGCTGCTGCTGCTGCTTGAGCTCGAAGTGATGGAGCTGCTGTTGCTGCTGCCGCTGGTAGCTCATCTTCACCCACATCTAAATCTTCCTCTCTATCCGAGCTATCTGTCAAAGATACCCCTCGATCCCAGCCAGCTTAAGTTGGCGCTAACCTTAAAGATCAATCAATCACTTGTCTCACTCTCTCTCTCTCTCTCTCTCTCTCTCTCTCTCTCTAGAAACAAGAGAACTTCCTCCATTTTAAAAACATGCAGGGAAGATAGCGGACGAACCACCTTCGGATTCCTCACAACCGCTCACTTTTCTTCCTTGCTTTGTGTGTGTTCTTGTTCCGCTTTCTCTCTATCTCCCTCTCTATCCTTGGATCAGTACTCCTCTTTCATGAATTGGCGGCCTTGAATGAAGAATGAGAACGTGAAAGAATGGAAGAAGGGAGCAGCAACAGCTCCATGAATCCGAGAGCCGGGCATTTTGTCGACACGTCCTTGAATTCCTCTCTCTCTCGCCTTTCACTCACATCCCTCTTGTCGATATTCCTCGGCCAGCCGCCTCTGCACAGCCAGCGGCAGAACAAGAACAAGGATGAGCAGTCCAAGGAATAAAAACTCCAACATGGACGTGGAGCTGTTGCTCGCCCTTCTCTATCCATCCATCCTGCCTTGGAGTCTCAAAAAATTCTCTCTGGGACCAAAAAGAGCAGTAAGTACTCAGACTACTATGCAAAGTCGCTCTCTTTTTCCTCCCTCACTCTCTCTAGACTTCCGTTCTTTGAGTGTGAGAAAGAATGTGTGCGCTTGAGAGAGAAAGAATGAGTTTTGTGTTTTTGTGTGTCCAGCAGCTATGGATTGAGCAAACCCGCCATTAACAACCCAGAGAGGTGGATCAGTAATGGTTTAAGTCCAAGCCCGCATCTTTTGTTCCTTTCTTCTTCCTTGGTCGCTGTCATGGAGCTCTCTTTATAACTCTCCTCCATGCCAGATGAACGCGGAGCTGTGGTGTGGAGAGGGGGTGAAAGAAAGAGCTCTCCATGGCTGACTGAGGGTGGAGAAAATTCTAACACGTTGTGCTTGTGTTGCCAACATAAATTCCCTCGTATCAATCAATTTCCCGGTCCTAATCCATCAGAGTTGCAGGCGCCATAGTACTCGAGACCAACACAGGCAGAGCAGGGAGAAGAAAGGATGATATCAGACACGAGCACACCCGGAGCTCACACACCTCGCTGGAAAACCACACAAAACGAACGAGGAAGGAAGAAGGAAGTATGAGTAAACCTTATGTTAATACCTCCCATCAATCAATCACTCGCATATATCAATATCAATCGCTCGCGGAGCAGCGAGAACTCCGAGCAAGCAAGCTTTTTAGACGAGAAGAGAAACTTTTAAAAACGAAGGAAAGACGACGACTTTTGGAGTGCAGAGCAGAAGTATGCGATCTCTCTTCCGGTGGGAAGATCGCAAAGAACTTAAATGAAAAGATAAGGAGAGATTGATTGGGAGAGGTGAGAGCCAAGACCAGAGAGAAAGAAAGAGCTGCAAGCTGCCAAATTGAAGAGCGACCAATCTCAAATCATACGACAAGTGATCAGAGATGGATCAGAGCTGGGCTGAGCTGCTGCTACGCAAAGTACCACCTGCAATGCGCATGAGAATTAAAAAAGCTCCCCTTCTCAATCTCGCAACAGTCACGCCATAGATCAAAGCACAGTTGATCAAGCAAAGAACACACATACACGAACTTAGAGGTAACAAATCCACACAATATCACACAGAGACAAGAGTATACGAGCTCGCTCGGCGTGAATCAAGCTGGGAGGAAAGGAATAAGCTGAGAAAGAAAGGAGCCAACTAACAAGCTATATGCCTATGGACAAAGGCAACCAGGAAAGAAAGAAAAGAGCTCTCAGAGAGGAGGACAGTGTGAGAGACAGTTTCCCAAAACACCCAAAGCTACATTCGCTCACACGAGCCTAAAATACCAGCAAGGCAACAAAGAAAAAGAAGAATACACATTCAAGCTGGGGGCCGTATGGGCGTAGACAAAGTGGCTCCCAGCTTTAAGAGGGGCATACAAATACGATACGAATACCGGCAATTTGTGGAAAGGCTATACGGGAGATCTCTCTTTCACCCGGAGCTAAAAGTGGGACTGTGCGTACTTGAATGTATAAATTACTTACACAAGCCACTGCGAGACTATGTAAACAGTAGATGAATGAATGAATGATCACAGGACACATAACACAGCGCCGACGATTCGGAAATGGCAAGGCATGTTAACAAGCAAGTGCCTGCGACTGTGAAGTTATAGTAATGCGACTCATTTATGGAGAGATGGGGAATTGGGAGGCAAAGCGGCAAATACAAACAAGCCAGAGGGATGATGGGCGATGGATCAGAGCTCGACCCAGTTGACGATTTGACGATCGAAGACAACCCACAAGCACAAAACATCCAATTCAATCGACCCACCAGGTCAAACAAAATGCCCCTGCGCGGCACTGCATGCCTTACCACAGTGGGCGCGAGGTTGAAAGGAAGGCTATTCCCTCTTTGCTATATATATATACAAATTACACGACACAGCCAGCGGCGCCGCTACGGCATCTTTGGGCGGCGCCGCTGCAGAAAAGGTGACAGCTGTGCATTTACACTGCAGAAAGGTGTCGTATCGCTGTCGCGAAGTGTTTTTTTCATAGTTTTGGATTTCTTGGTGTTTTTCTTTGATGCTGTTTCACAGGCATGGAGAACCATGATTCGCTTTTTCTGATCTGGGTCCGCCATTTCCTTTCGCTCTATTTCTTGCACACCATGAATGCCGCTCTTCGGCATTTTGCGCAATCCTTTGGTTGGAGCCAAAAACGAATAAATGTGTGAGTCCAACGTTGCCGTTGAGCCATCGGTGTGAGCAAAAAGGAGAGATGGGTGGATTCACTGGGAATCCTTTCCGATCCCTGGACGATCCTTTCCTCCACTGACAGCAAGTTCCTGTTTATCACCCAATCTTACAAAAAAAACTAAGAACTTGAAATAACCTCTTTTTCCTCGCACCAGTACTGCTTCTGGTTCTTCAAGAGTCGTCTCGATCGCCATCCGAGGCCTTCCACTAACTTTCACTTTCGATTTATAATCCTCTTCACCAACAACGTCTGCATCGCACATTCAATAACACAACCTCTCATCAAACTTCATACAAATCTTACTTTGGTCCCGGATTGTTTTTCTCTGGCGACCGTTGGTTTGCTTGGGACCATCGCCGTACGAGTGCCGTACTTGGCAGAGCGAAAGAGATGATCTTGGCTCCCACCGAGACAGGAACGACTATGATGATTTTTTCCCGCGGCATATTCACCGAGCCTGCAGAAAGCTTCGCCCTGCTTTTGACTCGATCAGATCGCGGCTTGTCGATCTCCACCACAAACTTCTAAAAGAACAAAAATAAAAAGAAGAATGAAAAAACGAAACTTTGATATCGTTCTACTTGCTTGCCTCTTCCTTTTGTTGTTTTCGACGATGAGTGGTGGTGGGATCAATGAAGTTACTCGTCATGTGGGATTTGTCGGCGAGGGTGACAACGCCGCGGTCTTTCTCCTTTCACTCTGCGGTCCTTGGATTGGATGCTCGAATCGAGTTGAGGTCACGCATCGTCCTGTGCTGTATTGCTCTCAGCTGCTGCTGCTGGCTCGAGTTTAAAGACGCTAAAGAGAGCATGAACTTCGCTGGCTGTGTGTCTCTCAGGGATACGTAAAGTTCCGTGCCAACCTGGTACTCGCAGAATTAAACAACGATAAGGAAACAAGTCAAGCTTACCTGTGTTCCAAGACGACCGGTCGGGTAGAAATCCTTTCGATCGTCTCTTCCACTGCTACGCCAAAGGCATTTATAAAAGCACCCCTGGAATGTTTTCCGAAAAACGTGCAAGTTAGTTGCTAGTTGGACTCGCTTCGCCTTACCTGACGTTAAGTAGGCAACTGTCGACACTCACATTGACAACTGATCGGTTTTGAAATGATCTGCAAGGATCCCGACTGCAACACACAAGCATTGATGGCATTCGGGAAGTTCTTAATCCCACCCCTTGGTACTACAGTTCTATCTAAAAGCAATATAAAGGCAAAGGTTAGAAGGATACATCTCCAATGACAACGAGAGAAAAGCTACGTACCTGGTCGCTGATGAGCATTGGGACATACTAACAATCAGTGGCCCATCCATCTTTCCTTCCACTATACTCTAAATTGTAACAAATCCTGCGTATAGTGACACTACTGGAAAATCCTATCTAACCGTTCTTCTGTCGCTGTAACACAAAAGCACTGCAAGCGATCAAAGTATAAGCTCGTAAAGAAGTAGCGTACCTTCCAAACTATCGTCAGCCAGTGTTCCGCATACCAGCAGCTATGCCATTTATCGAAATGAGAAGAGCATCACGAAGCCTCTGGTTGCTCTGATCCTGTCTCAGACGCCTCAACACCTCCACTTGTAGCATGTTGAGAGGCGTCAAGTACGGCAGCCTGCTCTCGATCAAACGTCTCAGCGTTTTATTGTTCTCCGCTAGCCTGTGATGCCCACTCACTTCCAAAACACACCTCTCTGTCTTGTGGAACTCGTCCCGCAGCTCTTGTCCGAGTGTCTGCCTGGCTGGATTCACTAACCAGTCGTCATAATGCTTCGCAATGGCTATGTCTGCTTTTGCCAACCCCATCTCAATAAGATCTATCGTAGACTGGAAAAACGGCCACTCGCGATACATGGCTTGAAGTTCCTGTATATATCCCTGCGATATGACTGCCTCCAGTCCCTTCCCCACCCCCAGCCATGCCGGAAGAACGAACCTGCTTTGCGTCCATGCAAATATCCAAGGTATGGCCCTCAGCTGTCCAATGCCACCAGACTTCTTTCGCCTCGTCGGCCTGCTGCCGATGTTCAAGTTTCCCAGCTCGGATTCTGGGGTTGCCTCCTGGAAGTAATGCAGAAACTCCTTATTCTCGTAGACGACATTGCGATAATGTTGGCGACTGACGTCGGAGATCTGTTCCATGACCGTTCTCCAGCAACTAACCCGGGGCGAGTCTGGAGGGTTTAAGGTTGCCAAAAGAACAGCCGTCGTGTAGATTTCCAATTCACGTAAAGCAGTCTGTGGAAGGCCAAACTTCGCCTGCACCATCTCTCCTTGCTCGGTTATACGCAGAGTTCCCTGATATGGATCACAAGAGAGAAATGAGAACCTTTTAGCAAAGCCGAGGATTAACTTACAATTACGGAGCCAGGAGGCTGTGATTGAATAGCGAGGTACATAGGCCCGCCACCCCGTCCAACGCTTCCTCCTCGGCCATGGAACAGAGTCAATTTTATCCCGTAGTCCTTGCATGCAGCGACAACATCTTCCTGAGCTTTGTACAGTTCCCAAGCCGCCGTGAAACGGCCAGCATCTTTGCCAGAGTCAGAATAACCCAGCATCACCTGTGCATAGTGTCTCAGCGATACAAACAACAAGTGAAAGTTGGTGCCAACCTCTTGGTGTCCCTGGTGATTTGTAACTAAATGATCACGGTACCACGGAATAGACAGAAGCCTCCTAATTATCGTGCCTGCGTCTCTCAAGTCTTTTACAGTTTCAAACAATGGAACTACCCGAAGCCTGTAAATGCAGTCCGGATCGGTGGGAAGATACAACCACATAGAAGCAACGCTTACGATGTTCCAGGACAGGGCTTGCCAAGCTCGCCGCTCACTACAAGACGAGCTTCCTTCTGGAGCAGCTCAACAGCAAGAACGTCACTAGCCTGAAAAACCATCAACAGCCAATTTATTGTTCAAAAGGTCATAAAAAAAAGACCTCAGATGTCATTGAGACAATGTATGCTCCAAGGGAGTTACTTCCTAATTCTGCTGCAACCCGAAAGGTGTTGAGAACTTCTTGAACCTCCGAAGAAACCTGATCAAAACACGCGTGTGAAACGCCTCAGATCTGTTGAATCACTTACTGCAATCGTTGGCGGGACAAGAGGCCTTTTCCCTTTGAGCTCCTTCGTTAGGAAATCTAGCTTTTTATCTTCATCCCACGCGCTATACGTTCCCATGTCGAGAAACTTTGTTATTGCGTCCAAAGCCTCGGAGTGTTTCTCAGCTTCCTAAAAGAACCTTAACGTAAGTACAGCTGAAACAAGAACGCTCCCTCTAACCTGACGTAAATCGAGTTTCATCAGTGTCATTCCAAATATTGACACACGCCGAATAAGATCTGTAAGGCGCCCGTCCGCTAGCACTTCGGCTTCACAAGACTCCTACACGACACGCATTTTCAGTACAAAACAACACAACACACCAACTAGTACCATTGATCGGTGGCAAAGCATTAATGGCTCCAAGAGCTGTTCTGGAGTTTCGTAGAACTCGCTAGGATCATAATCGCAAGGTAAGTCGTCCAAGAGCTCCTCCATGCGACGGCGAGTATTCACGAGCTTGATAACGTCAAAGGTTTAGCATAGGATGTACAGGCTCAATAAAAAAATGTATATACCTTCTCTCTGATGTGACCAAGCACCACTCTATATGGCGCAATATCAGGCCGACCCGTCGCACTAGGATTCAGTAGTTTATCAACACTAGATTTACTGATTGAATCTGTGCCTGTCCTTTTCCGAATGCCAGCCGAGATGGCCGCTGCGAGAATGGTGGCTGCTCTAGTTGGCGATGCCGGTGATTCTTGATCGTGCTGAATACTATCCCTCATTATCTCCGCTTTCACAGCACTTGGAGATGACTCATTCGACTGTAGCGCTGTTGTGGTGTTGGAGGAAGCCTGCACCAACCTTATGAACTTTTGTTTTGTTTCAAAAGCAATAATTTATTGACCTGGTAAGTTGTTTGCATGTCTATGTCGTCCTTGATTGGAAGTTCTAGAACAGGCAGTTCAGCAACACCGTCTGGATCTGTAATAACTTGATAATGAGCAAAATAGAGAAATAGAAATTACAATTTAAAAAAATAACAAAAAAAAAAAAAAAAAAAAAGGCTCACCAGAGCATGCGGGTATATCTGCACCAGCTGGGAGATTGGAGTGGACACTGGATGCAAACAACTCTCCGTGCCTTCCATACGCCCTGTGGTAACATCTTTCATGATGTTCATCATGGTCGTGCTCATGTTCGCGATCTGAGTTAATAGACGTAAAGCAGGAAAAACAATTAAAAAACAATTGAATTACCTTTTGCAACTATGTCATATGCAAATTGAGCTAGCTTCTCGTCACAATTACTCACGGACAATTCGAACCTCAGGCTATCCACTTCCCTCAGGTAAAGGTCTGCAGCTATCCATCGCGCCAAGTAGCAAACATCTCGGGTCACCTGGGAAAACAAAAACTTGTAACACTCACCTGCAACATTATTTTCTTTTACTTACTTTTGCAGTCACATGTG